CCCCCCCCCCCCCCCACACACACCAATCTGGCAATGTTACAATAAATTCTTTTAACAAGAAAGAAAAAACAGATTGATGGATGAAAAATTCAATCTTTTTTTATCTTTTGATCCTACCATGACCACTACTGAGCTAACGTGGCAGCCCAAAACCCACATATGATTGCGCGGATTCCTCTTCCTGGGTCATGTTCATCAGCGCCACAACCACCATCACTCCTGTTGGTACTTGACGGTGAAACTGAATCTGGCGACTGTTTCAGATTCTCAAAGGGGAACAAAAGCCCCCCCCCCCTCCTTGTGGTAGGGCTGAGCATTTTTACCCTGCACCCACGCGTTTTCGGATATCTTATCTCGTGGGTATCGAAAATTCATTATTCGTGAGATAATGAGATAGATGTTGGGTTCTTTGGGATGAAAAATCCAAGTTTCGGATTCGGGTATTTCACGACAAGTTATCTCGTGGGTATCCGGTTAAATAAAACATTACAAAAATACCGTTTATTTTTAATACATTTACAAAAATATCTATCCATAACTAACCTTAAGTCACTCTATCTTTATGCTTTGAATTTTATTCAACTTTTTGGATTGTTTTGGATGATAGATGTATTATAGAGGTGTTTGTAAAGATAATGTATTTTGGATTTTATTCAACTTACGGTTATGCTATTCATATGTGTATTTGTATTATACATTTGTACAAATTATTATTTTAAATTATACACGGGTTCAGGTCTCGCGCGTATTCGAATCGTGGTACCTGAATTTCGTGAGATAGAGAACAAGACATTCCAATCAAAAATTCGACGAAACCGAGACATAGATAAGGGTATCCTAAAAAGTTTGGGTACACGCCCGCGTTCATCCCTAACTCGTTCGTGTCCACCCCTAGCTTGTGGTAGTTTCATTTGAACCATCTTCTGATTCAGAGGGTCATGAATTCATCTTGCATTGGCGGGTAATTCAGATATTGATGGGTCATGAGCAAGCAGACAAAACCATTATTCTCCCTACATTCATCACTACACTACATAGAAGATTTGTTTTCAACTGACTCAATATACATGTTTTTCTTTGTGATCGGGTATTTTGGGTCAAGGTCCAAACTAATTCCAAAATCGGGAGTCACTAGGTGATTTGGAATATACGATCTCTCCCCAAACTTTAGGTTCGAACTCGGGGTAGAACATACGCTCTACGCCTCTATTTTACTGGTTGAACTATCTAAATTTAGATATTTAGCATACATGTTAGGATTTGATATATTCACAACTTGTATGATATAGTGACATAAACATTGCATTGATGCTTCAGTTTGACATGATAAACTCAAAAAAAATAATTATTGATAAAATATCTTCTGAATAAATGTTTCAGAAAATTCTCTCTGGATTGAGAAAAATTTCCATTTATGCACCTTGAACGATTTCTTGCACATTTCGTAACCTTTTGTAGCCATGTTGATATTGTGTAAGTGAATCTCGATTTGTATTTTCTAGCAGCTTTATAAGCATTTACATGGTATTGGTTGGTCCTCATGACCCTCTTTTTTTTTTCAGTAAAGAAGAAACGTTAACTTTTAGACTTCTTTCATAGTGATGGGCTCAAAATTCAATGGCTTCTAATCGATTGAAATAAATGGGCCTGGGCTACAAGGCCCATATCCCTCTAAGTCACGTGAGAAGCACGTGATCAATCGCGAGCCACACCCACTCTAGGTTCAAAACTCGAAAACAGTCCAAGGGCTAAGCCATCGCAGAAAGGGAAGTGACGGCGGCGGCGGAGATGTGGTTCAGCGGACTGAGGAAGCTCCTGGGACCCACAGCTTCCGGCAACGATCATGGCGGTTCGCTGTTGGTGAGGTACATGTCCCGAAAACGGGCCGTCAACGTTCGGAAGATAAACCCTAAGGTTCCGATCCAAGAAGCATACGCCATTTCCGACTCCCTCTACCACCTCATCAAGCAACATGGCCCTCTTTCCGTCCCCAACACTTGGATCCGCGCCCAGGTCTTCTTCTTCTTTTTCACTTCCGTTCTACGATTCTGCTGCAAGCTTTCAATCCTTTTTTCCGGTACCCTTTTCTCGTTTGATTCGTTTTACCCATTATCCCTTGCAATTCTGTGAAAAATTATTCAAATTTACACACTTTTCAATGTCTCTGAATCCGGGATCGTGATTTTCAGTCGTCACTGATTTCCATATTCAAACGAATGAGGTCGTCTTTTTTGGCACGTTAGCTTCTGTTTGTTTATGCTGCGTCTTACTGACTGTAGACTTCTTGAAGCCTTGTATTCTTAGATCATTGGAATTGTAAGTAAATTAAGAACCGAAACGTGCCCATAGATCGTAGAATTGCCACTCAAAGAAGGGTCTCTAGTCTTAGGATGAATGGTCGCATGCCCTTTCAAGAGTGCTTGAAGAATAAGCGTGTTTGCTTCTAGGCTCAATGATTCAGTCTTTGGTTGTCTAAGATCCTTGAAGAGAGTATGCGTTTCCTATTCAGATGGATAAGCTTGAGCCTTGACTGGTTTGGTTGCTCATGGGGTTTGAAATGCCATTGGAAGGCTCTCTTTTTTTTTCAAACCATCCATCCAGCATGATTAGAACCCATTCATGACATTTGGGCATTGATTCAGAGATGTATAGTCTTGAATGATTTGTTCTTGAAAGTTGAAGATTCATGACAACGTGACAGGAAGCAGGCATTAGTGGGCTGAACAGCAAAACCCACATGAAATTAATACTAAAGTGGATGAGAGGGAGAAACATGTTGAAGTTGATCTGCAACCATGTCGGTTCCAGCAAGAAGTTTGCACACTGCACGTTGCCTGAAGATAATCCTCAAACTAATCAAACTGTGACTGATGAAGACGATAAGATTAAGAAGAAGCCATCAAGCAAGCGAAAGCAACGAGCTAAATGAGGATCAATGCCGAATCAGTTACCTTTTCTTTTTATGTCGTTTGTCAAATGTGCCTTTCTTTTAGCTTCCATTTGACATGTTTACAGGACAGTTTGTGATTAGCATTTGTAGCTCTCTTACTGGAAAAACCTCGTCAGGTTTGGAACTTTGAAAAAGAACAGTTGTTTTTCAAAGCAGATCGATCTTAAGGGTGCCCGAGACCGCGGGTTTTCGGATGAGAAGAGAGACCAAAAACCCGGAAGACGGATTCGGGTTCAGAGTTCTATTATTTTTTATGGATTATTTTTACCCGATATTTAGAAAATGATTAAAATGCCATGATTTTCTATGCATTTACAAAAATATCTTATGTTTTTAGTGAAATATATATATAACCCGCTAATCGGAGACCTTTACCATCCCATATTTTTTGTGAAAAATTCTCCTTTCGATTTTTGATTATTTCTTTTTTGTGTTTTATTACAAATGAAATGTCTCTCTTGCATGTTCTTTCCGCTACTTCAAAAAATGTTTAAATCCCGAATTCGACCCACCAATAGCAAGCCAGCCCACCACGACTATTGCTTGCCACGTCAGACAACGTTTGGATCCTCAGGTCTCTCGCGTCGCTGTCCTAAACTTTTCGCTGATGTCTCTCTCGGCTTTTGACTCTCATCTCGAGCATCCTTTGTTTAATTCTTTTCAGTTATAAATCGGATTTAAGGGCAAAAAAAACACTTTGGGAAAAAAATAAATTAAAAACCGGCCGGGCAATTTAGAAAATGATATTTTTATTTTTTGGCAAGAATTTATAATTATTAGACACGGTTAACAATTATTCGAATTCGAATTCACATGTACAACAGTTTGATGGATCATACTTGACTTTCCAATTCGAAACTTAACTTTAGGAAAGTGAATAGTAGCGGACCCATAAAAAATTAGAATAGAGGGCAAACTTAATTTTCTATAAGATAAATGTAATATTATACTATGGGGCCTTCAACGAATTTGTTTCAAATTTTGTAAATTTTATAAAAAAAAATTTAATTTTTTTACTTAAACAAATGGAGACACATGCCCCCATTCATTCTAAATCGGATCCGCCCATGCAGCATCATCTTCTAATACGCATATACGCCACCATATACATGCAATATTAATTTTGTTGAAATCATTCCTATTAGGAATATAATAACTCTATCTCTCCATAACTTCCAATAAAATACAAAAAAAAATGACAATAAAAGCAGGAATCACGTAGAAAAGCAAGAAGAATATTTAATTTTGAGAAATGGAGAACAAGATTCACGGTTGCAGTTGAAATTGTCGCGAACCAAAGGCCTTGATGCTCTTGATATATGAATTATTTAGTAAATATATAATTATATATTACAAGCGTATTTTTTACTCTGTGCATGTAATGGCTTTCCCTTTTTTTTATTTTTTTTATTTTTGCTGTGGATGCATGGTCACCATTTGTTGCATGAGATTCTACGCAACCAATGTTGCAAAACTCTCAATCTTCAAAATAAAAAAGAAGAAGAAGAAGAAGAGCTCAATAGTATTAATTAGACCTATAGATATTCGTACGTTCAAATTTAGTAGCTATATAAGAACTTTTACGATGCCCTAATCAGTAGATAGGCTTGATTTGGGTAAGAAAATTCAGAAACGCGAAACTTGTGCGTTAATATATGTAATATGCCAAAGGATAATAATCGCGCGAGGAAATAAATCTTTATATCATTTCTTTTGTTGGGAAGGATTAGTCAAAAAAAAAAAGATGGCAAAAGAATAAAAAGAAAAGAGAATAAAAACATATAAAATGGAGAAAGTTGGCTGCTTAAAAGCATCGATGCAGGTTAATGTTCCTTTGTTCCCTCTGGTTTCTTTTTTCCTACTCGCATGTATATAATATATCTGTCTATATATTGCCCTCTCAACAACTGAGAAGAGCAAAAACACACGATTATATAGCTCTTTCTATCAAAACCTTTCGGTTCTAATGGCGGATAATGCTGTTTCCTCGCCATTCTTGACGATGGTCGTCGTGAATTTCGGATTTTCTCTGATGAACGTTCTTCTCAAGAAGGTCCTGGACATGGGTCTGAGCCCTCTCGTCTTTGTCACTTATCGTCTTTTGGTTTCCACCATTTTCTTGGCCCCGGTCGGTTTTTTCTGGGAAAGGTACGGAATCATGGAAACCAAAGATTGTGTGTCAGAAAAATTTTAAAAATATTTCCCGTTTCTGTTGAACGAATTAGGTCTCATACGTAGTTTCATCCACAGGCAGAGCAGACCAAAGCTTACACTTCAAATCCTATTCTCTCTCTTTTGCTCTGCAGTTGTCGGGTTAGTTCTGTTCCCTCTCTCTCTCTCTCTCTCTCTCTGTGTGTTTTGGCAATCTTTTTCATATAATCTTTGTTACTTGATGCGCACGTTTCTTGTGGCAGAACCTCTGTGACACAGTACCTCTTCCTCCTCGGAATTCAGTACACATCTGCAACATTCGCTTGCGCCTTTGTCAACTTGACTCCCGTCTTAACTTTTATCATGGCACTACCATTCGGGTAAAGTATCTGCGTTGGATTTGTGTTAGAATCTCACATCGACTATATGTGTATATATCGCTGGTTGAATCTTTACATAAAACTATATATGGATACCCTCCCCCAGCAAATTAGTTGTTAGTGTGAATTGTACTCATGAACCCTTAAAAAGGGTTTTAATTCGACCTCCTACGGGTGAAGTCTATGAAATGGCAACAAAGCCTACTGATCTCTTGGGATAGACAGCAAAGCCCGCCAGACTACATATGAGGACGGTATTAATGTTAGTATCTCACATCGACTATGTGTGAAAGTTGTCGAGTTTTTATAAGACTATATATATCGACATCTTTCCCAACAAGTTAAGTTTTTGGGGCGAGTTAGTCGAACCTATAGTATGGGGTGGAATCTGTCTGGATACCTATCAGATTTGGTTCCAAGATTATCATCTTTTAACCGTTTGGTTCCCGATACCGAACCACAGGTTAGAGAGAGTTAACATAAGGAGCAACACGGGACGGGCCAAAGTAGTGGGGACGGTGGTTTGCGTCGGAGGCGCCATGCTATTAACGTTGTACAGAGGAGCGCCTTTGTTCGGCAACCGCAGCTCGGATGATGTCAGCGTCAGGGAAACGAGGTTGATCACGACGTCGTCAAAGGGAAGGCCGTCGGGAGAGAGATGGAGCTTAGGGACGGTGGCTTTGGTAGTGGGAAGCTTCTTGTGGTCGTCATGGTTCTTGGTTCAGTCCAAAGTTAGCCAGAGGTACCCCTGCCAGTGTAGCAGCACCGCCATTATTTCGTTCTTCGGCTCTATTCAGTCGGCCCTCCTGTGTTTGGCTACGAGCGGGTGGAAACCCTCCGCTTGGGCTCTAAAGGGTACCTTAGAGATTCTCACTGTCCTCTATGCTGTAAGTATTCGATGGCAATATTCTTTCCATTAGGCTTCATTCCAGTTTGAATCTTCTCTTACACTTTGCCAATATATCCTTTCTCGTTAGTCTACTTTCATTTTTCTGAATCGGTTGGCACAGTTTTTCTTTCTTTGATTTTATTCTGCATGTGTGTATGTATATATATATATATACGGTGAGATAAGAGAGAATCTTGCGTTGGAACAGCCTGTAACTGCGGGCTGTAGGGTTTCCGGATTGGACACTATAAAAAAAAACATTTTTTTTTATTGATGGGGGGAAAAGCTAGGGCTAACATTAACTCATCACAAGAAAAGGAATCCAAAACAGAAAATATTCCCTGGGGGTTGTAAGATTTTTGTCTAAAAGAAGGAAAACCCTTTTTATTTGACCACGAAGAAAGAAAAAAACACACACGTATGAATGTCAGGGCCGAGCTTTATTCCATTCATCTAGACCATGCATGGATATATAATAAGAAAATTTTATAAAATAAAAAACAAAAATGGTGCAGGGGATAGTGGGATCAGGGCTGTGTTACGTGGGGATGTCATGGTGTGTGAAGAAAAGAGGTCCTGTCTTCACTGCGGCGTTCAGTCCCCTTATTCAGATTATGGCCGCCTTGATCGACATTCCTTTCCTCCATGAGCAACTCCATCTCGGCAGGTATATTACATCTTTTTGTTATGTGCCCATATCTATATCTATATATATATATATATATTTGTCAAGAAACTTGCATAAAACAAGTTTGCAGTTTGATAATTGGCAAAATCATTTGTAGTCTCAAATGTCAAAAAACAGGATTTAGAAGACCATAAAACCAATCTTGATATTACTTTTTCTGGAAAACCAACTCTGCATGGATCAGAGATCTATATATATATGTATGTATGTTTGTATGTGAAGATGGAATTATATATGCATGTATGTATGTTTGGGGAACAGCTTGTTGGGATCAATGATAGTGATTATCGGACTGTACACTCTTCTGTGGGGTAAGAGGAAGGAGATTAAGACAAGCCAGGAGGGACAGAACCCGAAAGAAGAGGATCCTCAGCTCCACGGTCTCAGAGTCCTGGGAGATCCACCTTGTCCTTGATTATTTTCCCTATATATATATATTTCGGTTCTATAATTAATATTATCATTAAAAAAATCATGTTTTCTATATCCATAATAAAGTTGGCCTGAAGAATGAAAAAATAAAAAGCAAAATCAAGTCAAGTATAATTTTCTTCCGAGATTTAAGATAGATGAGTCATCATCCCATTGGTAGTTTTGTGCGTGTGTGTATATATATATATTGGAGTATTCGGTTATATACGGAACTATTATTATTGGTTTTGCAATATGGAATAATCTCTGTCGGTAAGATGCAACGATTTCCTCTGTTTAGGGATTTAGGGGATGCGAGGGATTTTCCGTATCTTGTTCCATTTCTGACGTCAGCAATGTGATATATATATATAGTCTTACATTTGAAGTTGTAAATCACGCGAGGGATTATTTGAAAACCGAACCAACCCGACTGATTTATATACGAACCGAATTTAACCGATTAAAGAGGCGACTGATTGCGCCGCCGCCACCCGCAAACGGAGCGGTTACGATTTTTGGTTGTTGTGGACGATTGAAAAACTGATTGGTTTAACCGCAACCACTTCCAACCGCCACCAAACTTGTTTTTTCCAATGGCATCTTCCAACTTGTATTAAAAAACTAAAATATTTTTATTAAAAACTATATAAAACACTAATATATATATATATATATTGGTAATGATTTTTTTTAGTGTTATGATTTGATATTATTTTCTAATATTATATTTTAATAAAAAAATAAAATAGTATAATTTTTATATTTAATAATGATTATTTTTAATAATTTTTATAATAAAATTATTGTTTACTTAAAAATAAAGTAAATTGATAATATTTCTATTTTAAATTTATTATTTAATTACTATAAATTTAGTTAATAATTTTTATCAAATAACACTAAAAAATTCATTAAACTATTATAAAAAAATATTTTAAAATAATATTTTTTGATAATTTATATCAAAACATAAGTGCAACCGCAACGAACTATTCACTTCTAATCACATCCATCCGCAACCACTGCCAACTACAACTTATCAACTAATCGGTACTAATCATTCATAATTACAACCAGTGGAACTCTAAAATAAATAATTATTTGGTTATAAATATTTAAAACCCGAATAACCGTATGTTGAATAAATCAAATATGAAATAAACATAATCGAAAAAATCGAATATAACCGTTTATTTATCTATTCATCATCTATTAATATGCAATATATTATAAGAAATTAGTATATTGAGATTATCTTATAATTATGGTATATAACTAAAGTGAAGTTTTTAAAATTTTTCTTCGATAATATTTTAAATTTTGTTTCATATACTATTATAATCGAATGAAATTTTTTATTTGGTTATAATTTTAATTAGAAATAACTAGATTGGATTGAACCAGATCAAATTAAACCGTAATAGAATCAAATCAATTAAAATTAAATAATTGTTGGTTATAAATGTTCAGAATTCGAAATAATCAGATCTGAATTAATTATAACCAAATGAACCGAATCAAATCTGGAGGTGACAATAGATGGAAATATATCTCCTGCTTCTATATCCAATCCTTTTGCTTCTATATCCAATCCTTTTGGGTTTTTTTTTTTTAAATAACTCTTTTGAAGGGTTAGCCCCAAAAACAAAAACAAATAAAATAGGAGGGAGAGGAACAGTCATCGAGATCTTTTTTTTTTTCCGAGGTTGGTTGGACCAGAGAGATATGCACATCGTTCTCGCTTCTTAGATAGAGGTCCCTTCATCATCATCATCAATTTATTATTCTTAATCATCATCCATTAATCCATTAATTAAGGCGCACACACCTTATAGTACTATTCTTCTTCGTGCTTTGCTTTCTAGTTGTTTCTTCTCGGATCCTGGAAGCAGCGAAATTACTGCCATGTCTGCTCGGTCTTTATCAGAGTCCCCTCCATCTGTATGCTTTGGTATTATATGATTGCCCCCTCACCTCCAAAGTCTTCTGCTTTTCTTCTCAGGTACACATTCAATCCAACCCTTGAATCAAATTCGATTCAGGGTTTTTTAGGTTGACCTCTACCTTCTTCCTCCCTCTGGTCTGTATTCTCTTTGTGGGTTTCAGCTGTAGTTCGTAAATATTGAACCTTTTCTTCTTTGGGTCCTAGATCTAGGGTTTTTTTGTATGCACCGTTGAGACGAGAGATTTGTGGGTTAAGAGAGAGATTTCTGGGGAGTTCTGTGAGTTAAGGGTCAGATGCAGAATGAGGGCTCCCATGGAAGCTCAGGCCCTGCTGCTAAATTTCCGGCTCCTGATCAGGACAACGCTCCTGCCAAGGTGAGAGACTCGATACGCGAGTCGGCAAGTGAAGTGAATAATTCCACACCCGCCCTGACAATCGTGGTCTGCAATGGAGATTCGAGTCTGAGGCTCGAACAGATGGGAGCTGCTCAAATAACCCTCCAATCTGGGAAAGAAGATTCCCCCAAGAAGGGTTATTTGTCCAGAAATTCCAGTTCTCATGAACAATGCAGGTGAGCCCTTCCCTTTGTAATCTTCAGTTTTTCCTGTTGTTTTCAATTGATTTATACTTCTTATTGCTTGAAACTATCTATACCCGATGACGTGTGAGTTACATGGAGAAAATGTCCATGTGAAAGAGCAGGAATATGACCTGGAGAATTCTGCCATTTCTTGCCGATGTAGCTTGACGAGTTTGTGCCTTGTGATTTGTTCGGTTCTCTGTATAATAAACTTATGCATGAGTTTACAACACATTTTCCAATCTTCAATGGATAGGGTTTGCCAGCAGGAGAAAGAAGAGGCATTAATCGAGCTGGGATGCCAGTGTCGTGGAGGGCTTGCCAAAGCGCATAGGTCGTGCATAGATGCTTGGTTTCGGACAAAAGGCTCGAATCAATGCGAGATTTGCCAGTAAGTGTTCAAACAAAACTTGGAATTTGCTGTTGGTTTCTTTTTTTGTTCTTATTTGATTCTACATATCCAACATTTCCGCAGAGTGGTGGCTGCCAATGTATCACCTCCCGAGACTCAGCCAACTGTGAGTATATTTTGTCTTCCTCGTGAAGGGTAATCTTCAAAACGAGCATATACATTTGATCTAGTATCGCCTGAACATTTGTAAGTGGAATTTGTACGAATCAAATGGATCGATATCTCCTGTTTCCAGTTTTGTGTTTGAGCAAGCAGCCCAAGAACTGACACTGGAATCTTCGTGTCATGTGACTTTATAGAGGTCCCTTCTTAATTTGTGGTGTTTTTTTTTTCCTGAACAGACAAATTACTGGGTTTGGAGGATTGATCCCAGCTATAGACAGGAACAGCGAGAAAGAGTAAGTGTTTATATCCAGCCATTTTTAACCGGTGTCTAGCCTAGTAGTAACCATTGTTGCAGTCTAATGTGGAGAAACTCTTTTGATATCGTGGCAGGGATGTTTCAGTCCGCTATGGGTAGCGTTCTCGATTCTGATAGGCGGTCTAATGTTAGACGTGCTGATATCGATCACGCTTGGTGTATCTGCACTCCCGGTTAACATAATTATCGGTAGACAACTAACTCAGATCTGCTCTGGTGTCTTAAAAAGGGTATTTGTCTGAAATTTGAGAAATGGTCTGGTGGTGGCGGTGCAGGAGTGATAGTGGTGCTGGGGCTGGGGACAGCACTGAGGCTGACGTTGGAGTTCTGCTACGAGTGGAGCTTGAGAAGGGCGGTTCACAGGGCGGTCCAGCGGGCGGAAGCTAGCTTTAACAATATCACTTATCCTCCTGCCTTGTAGGAACCAACTGTTCTGTTATGTACATAGTTAGACGCAGGTGTTGCAACCGCTGTTGTTTGGAACATGAGTGACTGCATTCTACACTTGTTTGTTTGAGAATTGAGACCTAAACTGGGACTGTCAGCCCATCTTCTCTTGAATGTTGGCAGGCAGGTTCTGATAAGTGCAGTTCCTCTGTGTGTTCTGATGGTGATGATGATCATGCCCATTCCATGAATTGCGATGCTCTGTTACCATGGCCATGACCCAATATTTATGAGATAGCTTTCATATTCTAATATCAACGAGGATGGTAGATAACCATCAAACATACAGATAATCACTTTATACATATAAACCCCATAAAAACAAAAAAAAACGTATATGTTTTTCCTATACACATACATTATACATGAATAAATGTATATATACACATGCATATAAATCTCCTATATATATATATATATATGTTTTGGGCTGTTAAAAGGTCCATTAATGTAATAGAAGGGCCGAAGCTAAATGGACTTGAAGGGACGTCACACTCACTCCCACCGGTGCCGTCCTAGCTTGAACATCAGTTATATATATATATATATATATATAAAAGAGAAAATGTCCCAACTCTCACATTTTTTTAATTCTTGTATAAACCCAAATTATATCAGATTTGTTCAATTATTGCGCTCTACGATTTTTTTTATAAATATATATGCGACCAATCCATATAAATCTTTGAAGAAACAATAAATAATAGAATTAATAGTTACAAAATTCCTAGTGGGGTGTCGAGACTTTTCCTATTACCAATTCAGAAAAACACGGCATTAGCTTTAGACGAATGAATATGAAAAATAATACATTGACCTAAGAAAAAACAAATTTGACGAGTCTACATCGACGCGCGCGCGCGCACACACACATATATATATATATATATGATATAGTTCCGGGTTTTAAAAAAATTCTATTGTTAAATTTTCTTACTAATAATCTATACATATTAAAAACATGTTTAGAGTTAATATTAGTTTTATATAAATTAATTTAAATCATCAAAATTAAGTATTGGAGTGAGTTATATTCTTCTAATAATACTCTATATCCACACACACGCCTCTATATATATATATATATATATATATACATATATATAGATGGCGGTGCTCTGGTGTCTGCCATTTTTCACGTCGAAGACTGACTATGGGTAGTGATGAAGTGATGATGACATATGATTGAGAGTTATCAATTCTTAACACCTTAATATAATTTATATATATATATATATATATAATATGTATGGTTTGAAAAACGACATTGAAAGAACATGTTCAATTTGAATGAATAAATTTAAATTAGTGCGGAAAAAAAGATAATGACACGATTATGTTACATTATAAATTGGGGAAATTAAATGGTTGCACCAACTTTTTTTTTTGTTGGGACTGTGGATGAGGTTGACTAGTCACGACAATGTTTGTGGGTAGGAGTCGGTGGTGAGAGAGTCAGTCTATCAATTATCATTTTTTATCTATTTAATTTAATTATAGAAAAAAATTCTCACATTCTATTTTGTTTATTTATTATGGAGTTCCATCCCCTCTGCACTTGCCGATTCGCACATCATCTGCAAGTTTTTTTTATTTTTACATTAATCTCATTCTCACCAATATAATTAAACAAAATAATGGACTGACGCTTTAAAATAAAATGTAATATGGTCACGTGAGACAGACGTGTGTAATTAATTAAATCACTGCTCTCAAATAAATAAAATAAATTCATATTGTTTGGTAATGTAACTATGCTTGATTTGTGGTCGGGGTTTAAAAAAAAAAAATGTGACAACAAATGAAATAAAAAGTAAAACAAAGTGCAAATTTACCAAAATAAAAAATAAAAAAAATCAAAATGCAAACATCGAAGTCAGTGTGGGTGATTGATTGACCATTAAAATAAACTTCAGAAGAAAAGAAGAGGAAGAAAATTCAAAAGAATAGTGAGAAGACAGAGGGGAAGAAGACAAGCAAAGGATCTTTGTTCCTTTCCGTTTAATCATTACTCTCATTTCCCAATAATCACTCTCTTAAACCCTTCTCTTTCCTCCCCTCCGATTTTGTTCCTCTTTCTGGGATGCGAGTTTTAGGAGAGGGGTTTGAAAGAGCGCCAATCGAATCGATTCGACTCGATATACGGGTTTCGGCCAAATTTGTAATCCGATACACCCATTCACTTTTTTTCCCTTGAAATCACTCTCAATCATCGCTGGTAAACCCTCTTCTTCGTAGTTTTTCTTTCCGTTTTTAAATCCGTATCCGTCGTGGAGAGATTTGTAGTCAATCAGAGATTTCGGAAGAACGCGATTCGATTTCGATTCGGCAACTTGGTTTTGGCTAGAATTTTGTCCGGTGGACAGGTAAGCAAATCTTCCACAAGTTCTGGGGATTTTCTTCTTTCGATTTTTTTTATATTTGTTGTTTGTTTTACTTCTAAGCAATCCTTTGGCAGACAAGCATGTTATGCTTTTCTCGGCTTTGTTTTTTTCTCCGTTAGGTGGAGAAAAGTTTTTTTTTTTAATTATCTTTGTTTCCAAGTTTCTGTCACGAGCGTATGTATGTTGAACTAGAAGTTTCCCTTTAGAGCAAAATTCCAGATTTTGGGACAAAGTTAACGTCCTCTGATTTAATTTGACTCTGGTTATGGCCAAAGATACCCCTTTGAATTCGTCAATTCTGGGTTCTTTCCTGTCAATAGCGGGTCGATGGATCTTTGTCTTCTACCTGACCGGATTTGTTCGTTCCGACAAAGATAAAACCTTTCTGCCTGTATATTGAATTTTCATTTCTGGGTTTCTTACGTGACGATCAGGGTTTGATGGGTTCTGGCCAAAACTAGTGATGGGTACTTGTGGGGACGAAGAAGACGAAGACTGGTTCTTCGATGCCCGCGAAGAAGTGTCTTCTGTCTCCGATTGCAACTCCGAAGCGTCCGAGGATTTCAGTTGTCGTCTTGATCAAGAAACCGCCGGTCTGGATCTCTGGACTCAGAATCCGGACAGTGTTCTCACTCGCCGACGCAGGTTTTTCGAATCCATGGGCTTTAGCTTCAAAAGAACCTTCACAGACGATTATGGGGATACAGAAACGAGACCCTCTTGCTCTGATGGAGGATTTCACTCGGACCGATCTTCTGTCTCTGCTATAACCAATGGCTCATATGATGAGCATGTTGATAGAGTCAAGGCCATGGAGTTGTGCAGGAATGAATCTAAATCCACTGCTTCAGATGATGGAGGAGGGCTTCACTCGCACCAATCTTCTCTTTCATCACTGTCGAATTCTCTTGCTGAGTCTCTGAGAGATTCTTTCGAGGACCATGTCAGAATTTTCAAGGGCATGGATGGTGAAGTTCCGTTTGTGAGGAATGAGTCTAGTAATAGCAGTAGTACGGCTGAAGGTTCAAGCAAGTCTGGTAGCTATGGTGAATTCGGAAACTCTTACAGAGAAAGTTACGAGGAATCGACCAAAAAGGGGTCCAATGGTTGGTTGAAGAAGCTAAGTGCTATAACTCATGTTCTTGACAGACACACTGACTCCAATGATCGAGAATCAGTGGGATCGTCGCCATTGAGGCGAATTTCTCGTGTTCAATCTTATAAAAAGCAGTTCAAGGAGCTCTCCACTCTCTATGTTGGCCAAGAATTCTCTGCCCACGATGGATCAATCTTAACCATGAAGTTTTCTCCTGACGGGAAATACTTAGCCACTGCTGGTGAAGATTGTGTTGTTCGTGTCTGGGAAATTACTGAGAACGAGAGAGCAGATCGGTTTGAAGTGCCTGATTCTGATTCAGCATCTTACGCTTACTTTAGGATGAATGGTCTGGGTCAGATTGAGCCTCTGAATGCAGAAGATGAGAAAACTGAGAAGAACAGAGGATTGTTTAAGAAAAAATCATCAGATATGACTTGCGTTGTGTTGCCGCCAAGGGTCTTTGCTATATCTGAGACTCCTCTGAATGAGTTTCGGGGGCATAAGGGTGAAATATTGGATCTTTCCTGGTCATCAGAGGAAAGGGTAAGTCCTTTTCTCAAGATTTTTCGTCACATTTGCTTACGTTGATTATGCATATGACCCAACATAACTTCTGCCTGCCTATGCTGCAGTTACTGCTGTCTTCCTCTGTGGACGAGACTGTCCGTCTGTGGCGATTAGGTTCTGATGAATGCCTCAAAATATTCTCTCACAAGAACTTTGGTGAGCCTCTTTTTCTTATCTGTCATATTTACAAAGATGCTAAACAGAAACTCTCCAATATGAATTGAGTTTATATTAGGTCCATTCCCATTATTTTGTGAGAGAACTTGTACGTGTGTATGCCCATCAACCAGGTGAAAATATTTGGTATGAAATTTGCTTACATCACGCCTTCCCCATGAAATTTGACATTACATGCCAATTAATATGAACTGAAAGAAATCCTATTGTATCACCTTGTTCTGGATAGTGATCAACTGTTATCTCATGCCTTTTTTTGCAGTTACCTGTGTCGCGTTCAATCCCGTTGATGACAATTACTTTATCAGTGGTTCAATAGACGGGAAAGTTCGTATGTGGGATGTGTCACGTTGCCGGGTGGTTGACTATACTGATATGAGAGACATTGTTACAGCCATCTGCTACAGTCCTGATGCTAAGGTTTGTGGAAGGATATGCCCCTTTGTTTGTCAGTTGGTTAGATAGAATACTAAATTTAGAAAAGAGTTATAAGATTTCGCATAGGGAGATTATGTTTATTAGCTGCTTACAAGACATTCTTCTGTTGCTTCTCTACTGCAGGTTGCAGTTGTAGGAACCATGACAGGTGACTGTCGTTTTTACCATATACTGGGTAAGTTTAAACAATTACTACTTGTTCATAACCATGTCATTAGATTAGATAGATTTCATAAAACTAGGATTCTTCTTGACTCATTTGGTTCAGTTATTTAGCTCGTCGTTTTACTTTTTGGATTTCAGATGATCAGTTGCAGTTGGACAGAGAGATCAATTTCCATAGGAAAAAGAAGGTTCCAAGCAAAAGGATCACTGGTTTTCAGTTTTTCCCTGGAGACACTGACAAATTAATGGTCACTTCTGCTGATTCGCAAATCCGAATACTGAGTGGAGATGATTCGATATGCAAGCTTAAAGGTTTGAAACAATCCTGTTTCCATTGTTATATACTCGTGTTTTTCTTTTACTGGTTTAGAAGTTTCTTTTAAATGACTAAATCCTCTGTCCCCTGCATTTAAGCTTGTGGTGGTGTTATGGGAAAACGCAACTGCAATCAGCAACTAGTAACTATTCCTTTGATCATAGGATCTGTTCTTGAATTGCTGACGAATTCATACCGTCCCTTTTAAAGGATAAAGATCTATCCTTTTCTCTGTGTTTATTCTGCTGACGAATTCATACCTTTAGAAGGATAATGATCTGACCTTTCCTTTGTGTTTATTCTGCTGATGAATTCATACGGTCCCTTCTAAAGGATAAAGATCTGACCTTTTCTTTGTGGGTTTATTCTCTGACAGGATCGAGCCTCCTCCTGACGACACAGAGCCCGACATCTGCCGCATTCACGTCAGATGGGAAACACATAGTCTCGACAACAGAGGACTCGGGTGTTCATGTGTGGAGCTGCTGCTCTCAGCCCAACAAAAAGAAACCCAAAAAAACCATCAGATCTTGTGAGAGCTTTCTGTCACACAACACATCTATAGCTGTACCATGGCCTGTCCTTGGGGACAGTAATAGTTTTGGTGGGTTCATCTCTTCAGACATGGAGCAGAGATTGCCACCACATTTCCCTTCCTTTGAATGTTTGAGAGGATCAACAACTACATGGCCTGAAGAGAAACTTCCATCAACAACCAACAGCAGCAATAGCAGCAGCAGCAGCAGCAGATCAAAGCTGAAGTTGTTGAGGAGCGTTTGCCAGAATGTTTGTGGTTCATCTCCTAACCTTTGGGGCCTAGTGATCGTTGCAGCGACTTGGGACGGGAAAATCAGAGTTTTTCACAATTACGGGTTACCCGTTCATGTTTAAAACCCGTAATTCTGAATTCAGGTCAGGTCTCTTCCTTCTTTGCTCTTGAGACAAATAAAGGGTTGAAGGTTGAAGAATGGAATTATATGAGTATATAGGATTCTTTGATTTGTTTTGGGGTATGGTCATTTAGTCTTAAATATATGTATACACAACACAAGAGTCTCTTTTCTCTTTCTTTTTCTTCTCTCTTTTTTTTTTTGTAATGATTTTATATTTTGTGTATTTGTGTATATGTTTTTAGCAAAGGGTCCAGTTTTAATGATTCAACAGAATCTTTTTTGTGGGGGGCTCTTGGGATTCTTGTTATGAATTCGCATGCCTAAATGTCATTTTTCAATTGTAAACAGATTGCATGAAGGCATCTCCATGGTAATTTGTGTTCGTTTTCACTTGAAGGTTTATTCTGTGTTTCTGCCACTCCTACATCCCTATATCAGTTGCAAGAGTAACGTTATTAACCTCTGGAATCAACCCTTTAGCTTATGACATTAAGAGAATAATGAAGTCCATTCACTGCTCCTTTCCTTGGCACAAGACAATAACACAGCAGCACATCCAAAACAATGCAAGTTTGGAATCATAATAAGAAAAGGGCTTTGAGGGTACATAAACTTGTGCTCTGCAACCGTATCAGATGTCCAATATATATATATATATATAGTCTCATCCAAAACAATGTGTATGATGACTGGCTAAGCAATTTGGGTGCTTTTGAGGAGGTTTCATCTTCAAGAAGAGTGGAGAAGTTTCTTGTAGTCTTGGAAGTTTCCGGGGAAAGGAGTAATCCTGCCTTCCGACACCGCCCATAGTTCGTCTACACTTCCCGATATTAGATGTTCGTCGTGACTTACCTGCAATAATATTACCATCACCATTACCATTGTATATATATGTATATGTTTTAATAAACTCTTTATTGAGGATTTTGACTTAGTTTGTACCATGCAAATACCGCCTTGGAATAGCACAAGGCCTTGAATCAGCGCTTCCACCGCATCCAGATCCTGAATAGCAAGAGGGGTAAGTAAAGAGCCATGCCCGTTTTATTTAAAATGGCAAATGGAAAGGGGGGAACGATCAAAAGGACTTACAAGGTGATTGGATGGCTCATCGAGCAAGAGCAGGTGTGGTTTCTTAAACGTTATCTTCGCAAAGGCAACTCTGCTTTTCTGACCACCTATTATGAACATCCCTCAAACAGATTACATACAAACATATTTGATATTCAAAATCATTTGGGGGGCAAAGATTATAGATAATGTCAAACATAATGGAGATCCCCTAATCACCGAGCAACCATTTCAAGCATTTTGTTCAAGCTCATCAAACTCAGCTAATCTAGTATAAATAAATAACTAGGTATGGAGAGTTTTGTAGGGTTGTATAACTATAAGTGGCAATCTTGTGCCAAAAATAGAAACAATACTGAGGAGGCAATGGAATAGATGGTGGCTTAGGACCAGAGCAGAAACCAACTCTAAACATCTAAAAAAAAACAAAGTTACCTGATAAGGTGTACATAGGTTGCAGTGCAAGATTCCCGGTGACACCTAAAGAACCCAGGTGAGCTCTAAGCTTTTGCTCTGGCACTCCCTGCAGGTAATAAAATGACAAATTATTGGACCTAGTTTTTTTCTCTCTCTCATGCAAGTCAAAATGATAAGAGAAGAGAGCCCAGATTTAATTTGAAAGAATGCAATTGGCTGGTGGTCACCTATGGTTTTCAACTGACATTCTTTAAGCTAAGATTCTCGAGGACATAAATCTATGCTCGCAAAGGAACAGATGGGCCAAATAGAATCAGCACAATTCTGTGGTGAACCATGCTAAATCCGGATCATTCAAACCTGATTTGATCCCCTCAGAACTTAAACAAAAAAAGAAGATATAATGAGAGCATAGGAACTTACCGGGTAGCAGCGCATCATATATAGAAGTGGATTTGAAGAAAGGTCTAGTCCATCAACATGGTGTTGACTAAACACAGCAACTCGAACCTGTAAAATGAAAAGCAACACATCAGAGCAAAAGCCAATAACTTTTGCATTGAATAGAAACCATTAGCGTTGGCAAGTCAGCATACAGTAAATTTGAGCTATTGAGAAACCGAGATCTCATATGTTGTTGCACAAACAGTTTTCAGTAAGCAATATTATGTAAGACATTTTCTCTGTAAACATAGAAGGGGTCTCCATTATTTGAGTGTTTTAGAAGTTCATCCCATATGTTCCAGAAGGACAAGCGCCAAATCCGTTACTTGGATGGGGAAAGCTAAGGGCAGAAGTCTTGCATACCTTAGCTGAACGGAAAACTGTCCCAGAACTTGGTTGCAGATCTCCAGAAATAAGTTTGAGTATAGTTGATTTACCGATACCATTGGGCCCCACCACTGCAAATCGATGGGAAAAAAAACGTATCACAACAAGAGCTTTATATGGTGCAGCAGAGGCTCCAAAACTAAGACATATGTGTTAGTTCACACCATATATCATTCTTTACATGATCATCAAATATGGTAGATGGTTAATTGATTTATTCGAAAAACATGATGAAAAATCAGAATACCGAGGAAAAGCCTACTTACTCGCAACACGGCTATCCAGGTCTATACCAAAATTCAGATTCTTAAACAATAACGGACCACCAGGGTAACCAAATGATGCATCACTGCAGAAAAAAAAATGAAAAGAGAAAATACATCAAGTTGATCTCAGGATGCCTAGATATTACCAAAACTAGAGAAGTTTGTTTCATATCCCAATGGCAGCAGTTTCTGGCATAACAAACCTGAAACTAATTATAGGGGGACCGGGCCTATCATCTGGAGTTGGGAATTCAAATTTGTAGCTGCATGAGGAAATATGGGGCCAATGTGTTATTTGCTGAAGCTGAGACTATAATCTCATTTTGAACTTGTAAATGTTTAGGCATAAGCTAGGAATGAAGTTTCTATCTCTTACTCTGGGTCATTAATAACTTGATCCACATAACCCATCCGATCCAATGCCTGAGTCAGAGGCACCGATAATATGAGTGCAACACTGATAATCAAAGAAATACCACATAAATAATGATAAACAGTAATGGCCCGTACCTTGATTCTTGACTGAACAAGAGATGCCCTTTTCGCATTGTAACGAAATTTATCAATGAACGCCTACATCAGAAAGATATAAAAATCAAATGGAAATTCCAATTGAGAAGACTGCTAGGCGAAAGAGAGACATCTTTGAGGGAGGACAGAGAAAAAACAATTTTTTGCCATGCAACCAAGACAACCAGTATTTTCACCACGGAAGTAAAGGAAAACCGGCAATCCTACTATTAAATAGAGAAAATAACATACTGAAAACTGAACTTTATGAGTTTAGTTTGCAGATATTGAAAAGAACCTGCATATGTGATCTCGCGCGTTCATTTGCCTCAAATGCTTTCTGTTGAGTCTTCACTTGTTCCTCCCGTGTTCTTTCAAAAGTGTCATAATCTCCTTTGTAGGCAGTTAGCTTTTGGTTCTGCAAATGGATGATGTCTGTAACCACCTGCAACAAACATAACTGTCACAAATGCCCGATGATATAGGAAAGAAGTTTAACAGCAATAGACACACAGGGTACCGTGTTCAAGAATTCCCTCGCATGGGAAACCACTATAAATGTTTTTGGCCACTTCACCAAATACGATTCCAACCACAAGACAGCATGAAGATCAAGATGATTCTGCCAAAAGAACGAAAACATGTTTGAAATTCGAAAGAATAAAGGCAAGGAGAATACAAGCTTAAGAGAAACTTGTGAGAAAACACACTGTAGGTTCATCAAGCAGCAACAAGTCAGGCTCTATAAATAGTGCACGGGCAAGTGCAATTCTCATTCTCCATCCTCCAGAAAAAGCCTTTGTAGCTTTATGCTGCATTTCTGGAGTGAAACTGAGCCCCTGTAAGTATTTTAGGGACACGGCACACAAAGTTAGCGATTATAATCAGATAATATAACAGCTGAAGAAAATGCAACGTGGATAATGATAAATATTGCCCAATTTTAGCTTTTCATACTTCACTTCTGCAGTGATGAGTCATGACTTATTTTCAATAGTGTCTCTTCCTGTGTTTTTCCTGGTAAAGGGATTCAGGAAATTTTTTGTGGTAAAGCGGCACTTACAGCAAGAATGCTAGCCGCACGAGACTCGGCTGAATAAGCATCAATTGCATCAAGCCTTTTGTATATTTCTTCAAGCCGTTGAGAAATGGAATCTTTACCAGCCACTCCGTTGGAATGCATTTCGTCCTTTCCTGATGTTCCTTCCAACTCCAGTTCTCTCTGCAGATTATAAATTTGTGTTAGCATCACCATTAAAGGGGGATGATGATAGAGTAAGTGGAAGAGCGCCCAAGACACAGAAATGCCTAGGCCAGAAAAACATTAAGTCCTCATATGTAACTTTAGCTAGAAGCTAACCTGCTTTGCCAGCAATTGAACTTCTTCTTGCATCAGTTTGGTTCTTTCAATATCAGAGTTAAGAACACACTGCAATGCCGTTGTATCATCACCAACCACTTCTTGTTCGACATGCAATATCTGGCAATTACGAGGAATACCATCTATAGCATGCATAGCCATGTACCGCAGGAATGTTGTTTTACCAGTACCATTACGTCCTACAAGACCTGAAAATCAACCGAAGAAAATAAGGACCGACATGAAAGCTTAACATCTTTCTGTCAACACATTTTCAATAATCTTCTCATTTTTGTCCTTTGGGTGAGACGAATAGGATGTACAAGAAAATGAAAATCAAACCCACCATAATGGCGTCCAAAAGCGAGAGTAATTGTTTCGTCTACAATCAGATCACGGCCTCCAACAGAAATATTGAAGTTCTCCATATGAATATCCCTGACAGCTGGTCCACCACCAGTTTCGTGATTGACACATACCACAGGCATCCCTGCCTTAACTTCTTCCATTTCAGCAACATGCTTCTGGTATTGTGCCTGCATTAGCATATAACCAGTAACCCGTGAAGGGAAGAACAAAACTAAGACAAACATTAAACACTGTCCACACTAGAAAAACCTTCCAATACAGAACTATTGCCATGCATCTACATAAGCTAAACTCCACCCGTAACAGGAGAGAGAGAAACAAAGAATCGCTCGTTCTTGTGATATTTTTCTTACCTCTCTTTGGCGCTCCTCCTTTTTCTTCCTCCTTTCTATCTTTTGTTTGTCACGTTCAGACAGCAAAGGACCATCTACGGGCTCTGGCTTCTTCTTGCGCACTTGTCCTTCATCCATGCCCTCATTCATCCGTACGGGCATTGCAAGACTCCTGACAGCTGGTTTGGGTTTCACCAAACCATGCTTCCCAAACCTATCCGACAGTTTGCGACAAACCTACACCAGATCAAATAGGAAATAAACAAAACAGAAAATTTTCTTCTGTATTCATCACAAAGAGAGAAAATTTTCACCCAAGTCCGAAAGAAAACAATCTACAACAGTTCTTTCAAAATTCACAACATGGGGGTAAAAAATCCTTAACACTGCTAACACGGCAGGTTATAGGATATTTCAATTCATAAAGCGCTGCAGCACTGCATAAAATTATGAGAAACTAGTTGAATTCCAAGCGAAAAGTAGATTCACATGAAACGCCGATTCGTACAGTTAATCAGAAGATCGAAAGCCAATCATGTTGTTTGTATGTGTAGTAAGGCCTAGCGAACTAGCAACCTCCGATCATACGCTTACCATACGGCACTCTTCAAAATCGGAGACGCAACCGGCAGCCACAAGGAGCTCACCGACGGCATCAAAGGCACCGTCACCATCGTCGCCGAAGTCGAAATCTTCATCGGCGAGGACATTGATGATGTAGTCCATGATGGGCTCGTCGACATCCTGCGCTCCATGACCGAGAACATCGAACACCACCGAGCTCGCCACTTGGGTCATGGCGGAGATTCAATTTCAGTTTCTGCTTCAGCCGAAATGCCGAGAGGGAGAGAGAGAGATGACAAGGCTAGGGGTTGAAGGAAAACCTTCTGAGTTCTGAATGTCTCAATTGTCGAGCGATCGAGAGAGAGAATGGGCCCTTAATATTTGTGGGCCTACTAGTACAAAGCCCATTAAAGAACATTCAAAGGGTTTGGGTTGTAAATCGCATCCGGTCTAGCTGGTCTAATCCGGTTTGAGGGTGGCCATTTGGGTTTTGGTCTTTAGTTCGGTTATATTCTAATTTAGTTATTTCGATTTTTAAAAATTATAATAACTCGGTTTGTTTTGATTCAATTTCAGTTTGAATTCCAAATTTATTAATAAAAATACTCAGTTTTTTTTTTTAAAAAAATGGTTTTTCCCTTTATTTTTATTCGGTTTTGGTTCATCGGGATGATTTTTTTTTTTCATTTTAAAAAATTATAATAATTTATTTGTATATCGAATTTAATTTAATTACGGTTATATATTCTTCAATTTCGATCGGTTTAATCATTCCGTTATAAACCGATTGGCCACTGTCCGAATCGCAGCCATTGGACACGGTCCACCACCATCCACACTTGTTCTTCTTCACACAAAGGGTTCCTTTTCCCTTGATATTCCCGCGGAATTTCCAGTCTTTAGCCTTGAATACCCCTCACGTAAATTCCCATCGATTGATCTCGGAGTCTTCGGATCAATCAATTTCTGTTCGTTCTCCTTGAATCCGATCCGTTATCGTCTTCCCTGGGCGAAGAAGATGAGGCTGTTGACAGTCGCGACGTGTAACTTGAACCAATGGGCCATGGATTTCGATTGCAACTTGAAGAACATCAAGGCCTCAATCACTCAGGCCAAGGCCGCCGGTGCTGTCATCAGGCTCGGCCCCGAGCTCGAGATCACCGGCTATGGCTGCGAGGACCACTTCCTCGAGCTCGACACCGTCACCCACGCGTAAGTTTCTCGCTTTCCATTTTCGATTTTTTTCCAACCTTTTTTGTTGTTCAGAGGCATAGGAATCGAAACCTTCTTCAAATTGAATAGATGTGATTGTTGTCCGAAGCTTTCACGCTGCATTTCTGTGATCCAATTCGATAACTTTTTTTTTTTTTTGATAAAACCAATTCGATAACTTTGAGTTCCATATAGAGGAAGTTGCGATGAGGGAGCTGGATTTAAACTACCAATTCAATTTGAAACCATGGCTGTATTCTGCAGGTGGGAGTGCTTGAAGGAATTACTGCTTGGTGATTGGACGGATGGAATATTGTGCAGCATAGGGATGCCTGTGATTAAAGGATCGGAGCGGTATAATTGTCAAGTTTTGTGTATGAACAGAGAAATCATCTTGATAAGACCGAAAATGTGGCTTGCGAACGACGGAAACTACAGGGATCTTCGGTGGTTCACTGCTTGGAAGCAGAGAGAGCAGCTTGAGGACTTTCAGCTGCCTAGCGAAATTTCAGAGGCCTTGTCTCAGAAGTCGGTTCCTTTTGGCTATGGTTACATCCGGTTCTTGGACACGTAAGTCTGGATATACGATATCGTTTTCTTCTCTCGTGCCCGATCAGAAGCTCGGTTGAAAGGGATTGGATTTTAGGAAGATGGGTGACTCTCATTTGGTTATAGGGTATTTACTCCTTAATCACTGTGACTGACTGGCAATATATTTCGTATCAGAGCTGTTGCAGCCGAAGTTTGTGAGGAGCTGTTTACTCCAGTTCCTCCTCATGCTGAGCTTGCCTTGAACGGGGTGGAGGTCTTCATGAATGCCAGCGGAAGTCATCATCAATTGAGAAAGCTAGATATTCGTATGCGTTCTTTTATAGGGGCTACCAATGCTCGCGGAGGGGTGTACATGTACAGTAATCACCAGGGATGTGATGGTGGCCGCTTATATTACGGTACAATAATATTCTTAGATGAACCCTGCTGGATTAAGATTGCTACTTTGAATACCTATTGCAAAGGAAGGATTGCTTACTTTAAGTGACCAACCGACTTGTACTCGTAATCTGAGTTCGAAAAGGCACGCCTGTATATGAGGGTTCTAAAATACGAGTCTTAATCTTGATTTTCCCACTGCATTTTGAGCTTATGTTTCTTATCGTTTGTTTCAACTGCAGATGGATGTGCATCCATTGTTGTAAACGGGGATGTTATTGCTCAAGGCTCACAGTTCTCCTTGAAGGACATTGAAGTCGTGGTTGCACAAATGGATCTGGATGCAGTATGCCATAGATATCCCAGATATATCATTTTTATTTATTGATATACGAACAGATTCAAGTTAAAATTCTTTCTGTTTTCTGTCTGATGAAGGTTGCGAGTCTTCGAGGATCTATAAGTAGTTTTCAAGAACAAGCAAGCTGCAAAGCCAAAGTACCTTCAGTATCTGTGCCCGTGAAGCTGACACAGCCCTTCAACCTGAAGGTTTCACTAACCAGCCCAAAAACGGTCCGTAATTCTCAAAATACTTGATCTTTACTCCCTCACAGGCCTTTTGGTCTGTAATAAACATTTTAATTTTCTAATTTCCAGAAATGATTGTGTGTAGATCATGTACCACTCTCCAGAAGAAGAAATTGCCTTCGGACCTGCTTGCTGGCTATGGGACTATCTGAGAAGAAGTGGCGCTTCTGGGTTTCTACTTCCCCTTTCTGGTGGGGCAGACAGCTCCTCTGTGGCAGCTATTGTTGGCTGCATGTGCCAACTTGTTGTAAAAGGTAAACCTTTTTAAGATGTTTGGCGATTTGTTTGTGGAGTCATGACAGACAACACGTTAATAACTGGAGACCTTCATGGTTTTTAGCCTTCTCAGTTTATACCATCTGATAATGTAGAGATTGAGAGTGGAGATGAGCAAGTGAAATCTGATGCGATGCGAATTGGGAATTACATTGATGGGCAGTTTCCCACTGACAGCAAAGAGTTTGCCAAGCGCATATTTTACACTGTTTACATGGGATCCGAGAACAGGTAAAAACTCATTGATGTATAAAGCCAATAGCTTTTGTTTTTTGTCGTTCTTAGATTAATTTCATGCCAACACACACATCCTTGAGTAAGCACATAATGACATGATTCTTGGCCATATTGAAGAATATACAGTTGTTTCTCAGTGGTGCAATTTGCAATTAACTTGAAAATTTGTGTGGAATCTAAGACCAATCTTCTTGATATTGGACTCCTAATTTTTCAGTTCCGAGACAACAAAAAAACGTGCAAAGGAGCTGGCGGATGAGATTGGTGCATGGCATCTTGATGTTTGCATTGATGGTGTTGTCTCTGCGCTTTTAACTTTATTTCAGACACTCACAGGAAAGCGACCACGGTATAAGGTAAAGGGGAAATATACTTCACTTCCACTATATTATGATTGACTGTTTAGAATTTCTCCCTAGTATCTATAATTCTCCCGCAAGATTCAATATATAGGCATCTTTTTACCTTTTGAACGACATCAAGAAAACCTTATGCAAATCGAACATCTTCATATAGAATATGTCACATTGTTGAAAAGATGTTACAAAAGTTGTCTCGAAATAAATTCACTGCTGTATTATATCAGAATAACACAAATAGATTGTTTTTTTCATAGGTCGATGGAGGAAGTAACATTGAGAATCTAGGGCTGCAGAACATTCAAGCACGGATAAGAATGGTGTTGGCATTTATGTTAGCATCTCTCTTACCTTGGGTTCACAACAAACCAGGCTTTTACCTTGTTCTTGGTAGCTCCAACGTCGATGAAGGATTGCGTGGATACCTGACAAAGGTGGTGACACATTAACTGCCCCACTTTGCTTGCATACTTTTATATGTCATGCCATGTTGGTCACAGTCCATTAAGCACTAGTCAATTCAAAGTTTATCTATTTTTTGTCTGTTATTAGATTATTAATTCATTTATTACTTTTTTAACAGTATGACTGCAGCTCGGCGGACATAAATCCCATAGGAAGTATCAGTAAGCAGGATCTGAGGATGTTCCTAAGGTGGGCTGCAACACGTCTTGGTTACCCATCACTGGCAGGCATAGAAGCTGCTCCACCGACAGCCGAGCGGGAGCCAATCCGTTCTGACTATACTCAGGTTAAAAAAAACAGAAACCAATAGGACCAGATATGGCCTGTTTTTTTTCTTCTAATAACATAAAACACTTCTGGTTACATGAATGGAACAGTTGGATGAGGTTGATATGGGAATGACATACGAAGAGCTCTCAGTCTATGGAAGGCTGAGGAAGATATTCCGTTGTGGTCCTGTTTCAATGTTCAAGGTTTGGATTCCCCGTCGACTGACATTCAGTGTTTGTGTTTGATTTTTCAAAGGGATTTGCTTAAAGTGCTCTGTGTGTGTGTGTATTGTGGCAGAATCTGTGTTACAGGTGGGGAACGAGGCTAAGCCCCTCGGAAGTGGCTGAGAAAGTGAAGTATTTCTTCAAGTACTACTCTATCAATCGGCACAAAATGACTGTCCTCACGCCGTCCTATCACGCCGAGGTAATTCAAACTTCAAACCACAAATCCAAATCTCTCAGTTACAAAGTTCCATTTTCATTGATGAAAAAGAAAATAAAACTATTTGGGGGGGGGGGGGGGGGGG